CTCACTATGGTCGTGGAGGGTACACTGTTGATTTCTGTTGGGATTTACATAAAAAACCTTCTAGTACTGCGAATCAAGTTTCTTATTAAGATGACACCTTTGTTGCGGCTTCCATACCTCGATCGGCTCCACCAGACACTGGGTCAGTTACTATTACACGAGAAGAGTATGCTCAGTTTCTGTCCTAACAAGCTGTTCCATCTTCCTCCATTGCTATTTTTGCCCAGTCAGGTACTGCTTTCACTTGTTTATTGTCGTCCACTCGCAGTCCTTGGATCATAGACTCTAGCGCCTCTGACCACATGACTGATGCGTCTGATGTTTTTTTTACTTATCAGTCTGTTACTTTCACACGTAGTATTACTCTTGCTAATGGTACTTGTTCTAAAGTTTCAGGTCTGGGGACTACTCACTTGAGTCCTGATATATCTCTATCTTCCATGTTATTTGTTCTTCAGTTTCCTTTTAGTTTACTTTTCATTAGCAAGATTATCCGTTCTCTCAATTTTTTTGTAACCTTTTATCCCTCTTATGTGTCTTTCAGGATCTCAAGACGAAGAGGCAGATTGGTATGGGGCATAAAGCTGGTGGTCTATATTACCTTAACTTTGATTCACCTATCTGGACTCTATAGACCTCATTGTCTCCTTTTTCAATGGCATTGTCGTCTTGGATATCCTTCTCTCCAGAATTTAAAGCGCCAAGTTCCTAGCCTTAGTTATGTGTCGTCTTTGTCCTGTGAAGTTTGTCAACTTAGTAAGCATCACTGTATGTCATTTCAGTTTAGAGTCAATAATTGTGTGTCTAGTCCATTTGAATTAGTCCATTCTGATGTATGGGGTCCAATAAAGAATATTTCATCTAATAAATATTCTTATTTTGTGACATTTGTGGATAACTATTCTCGTGTGACTTGGTTATTTTTTATGAAAGTTTGGTCTAAATTATTTTATATATTTGAGACTTTTCGTAAGGAAATTAAAACTCAGTTTGGTTGTCGTATACGTACTTTACATTATGATAATGTTCGGGAATATGAATCTGATCCTTTCTCAGCTTATCTTAATAAAATTGGTATTATTCATCAGACTTCTTGTGCTTACACTTCTCCACAAAATGGTGTTGCTGAACGCAAGAACCGTCATTTGTTGGAAGTCACCCATGCCCTGTTATTCCAGATGAATATTTTTCGATACTTTTGGAGTGATACTGTTCTTACAGTTTGTCATCTTATTAATCGTATGACATATTTTGTGTTAAATGAGCAAAGTCTATATTCTGTCATTTTTTCTGGTAAGTCTTTATTTTTCCCGACTCCTAACGTCTTTGAATATGTCTGTTATGTTCACAATTTGGGTCCTGAGTTTGACAAACTTGACCCTCGAACTACCAAATGTGTATTTCTTGGTTACTCCCGCACGCAAAAAAGGTATCGTTGCTACAACCCTTCTCTGCACCAATACTTTACTAGTGTTGATGTCACGTTTGAAGAGTCTGTTCCATACTTTTTAACACCTTCTTAGCCTTTGGATCTGGATTTTGGATCATCTCCTGTACTACCATCTCTTTCCTCATCTTCAGACATTCCGCTGCCCACTGTGTTGCCATATATTTTATCTTTTCGTGTCTACTCTCGCCGTCTTTGCCCATCGACTGAGGTGCCCGTACCATCTTTCTTGTAGCCTTCTAATTCTGGTATATCAGATAATTTAGACTCTTTACCTATTGCTCTTCGCAAAGGTACTCATTTGTGTGTTACTGATCATCTCATTTCTCATTTTATTTTATATGATGTCTTATCTCCTGACTTCTCTTGTTTTACTTCCAAATTATCTATTATCTTTGTTCCTAAGTATTTACATGATGTATTATCTGATCCGGGTTGGAGAAAAGCTATGGAGGAGGAGATGAATACTTTACATCATAATGGGACTTGGGATCTCGTTCCTTTACACCCTGGTAAATGGACTGTTGGCTGTCGTTAGATGTATACTGTTAAATTTCATCTAGCTGGCTCTGTGGAGTGTCTCAAAGCTTGACTTGTTGTAAAGGACTTTATTCAAACTTATGGTGTTAATTATGAGGAGACTTTTCTTCGATTGCCAAAATTTCTTCTGTTCGTATGTTGATCTATTTGGCTACTAATCTTGATTAGCCCTTGTTTTAGTTAAACATCAAAAATGTCTTCCTACATGGTGACTTGGTTGAAGAGGTTTACATGGAACAGCCACTTAGGTTTACTGCTCGGGGGGAGTATGGTAAGAGTGTATGTCGGTTAAAAATTTTTTGTATGGTTTAAAGCAGTCACCGAGAACATGGTTTGGTAAGTTTTTAGATGCAGTTTTAGAGTTTGGTCTTCTTCGATGGCAGGCGGATCATTTTGTGTTTCATAGACAGACAGATGCTGGATATGTCCTATTGGTGGTCTATGTAGATGATATTGTGATTACTGAAAATGATTCTGAGGGGATTGTCAAGTTAAAAATACTTACAGGATCGATTTCATACTAAGGATTTGAAAAAACTCAGGTATTTATTGGGTATTGAGGTGATTCGATCTAAACAGGGTATTTGTTTATCCTAGAGGAAATATGTACTTGACATGCTTAAGGAAGCAGGTTTGCTGGGTGGTAGACCGATTGATGTTCCTATGGATCCGAATAAAAAATTATTGATGGATGATGGTGCATTGTTTAAGAATCCGGGTAGTATCGCAGATTGGTTGGAAAGCTTAATTATCTCATTATTACTCGACCGAATATTTTCTATGCAGTCAGTATAGTAAGTCAGTTCATGAAATGTCCTAGAGTACCACACTGGGAGGCAGTTACTCGTATTCTGCGATATCTCAAACGAGCTCGTGGACTTGGACTGTTATATCAAGCTAATGGATATCTTAGAGCAGAAGGTTTCTCAGATGCTAATTGGGCTGACTCTCCTTTTGATCGGAGATCAACCACTGGTTATTGTACTTTCTTAGGAGGTAATGTTGTCTCATGAAAAAGTAAGAAACAACCTATAGTAGCAAGATTCAGTGTTGAGGCTGAGTATAGGACAATGACACATACGACGAGTGAGTTGACTTGGCTACTACACTTCCTCCATGAAATTGAGTTTTCAGTTCAACTTCCTTTACAGTTGTTCTGTGACAACTAGATAACTATTCATATTGCTGCTAATCTTGTGTTTCACGAGGGAACTAAGCATATTGAGGTTGATTGTCACTTTATTCGGGACAAGATAGTTGCTGGGGAGATTACAACTCCTTTTGTGAAATCTGAAGATCAGCTTGCAGATATGTTTACCGAAGCAATGAGTCGTACACGCCTTACAACTATTTGTTCAAATCTTGGATTATATGATATATATAGTCCAGCTTGAGAGGAAGTGTTAAGAATAAAATAGTAGTATATGTAAATTGTTAATAGTAAGAGGGTGTATGTGTAATTCTTATTATTGTAGCTTAACTATAAATACAAGTGATGTATGAAAGCTAAGTTAAATTTTTAACCTCTCTCTAAAACTGTGTTAATCTTCTAAACTTAACAAGTCCAAAAAGGGAAAAGATAATATGAAGAGTTAATAATTAACTGAGTACACTTATGGTGGGCAATCTAGCATAATGTATAGGTTTACGGAACCCAAGGAAATCTTACTTTTTTTGGTAGGGGAGGGGAAAAAGGGGTTTGAACTATTGCCCTCAAGAAGGCAAAGCCTTCACAAGACAAAAAGTACCATTGGACCAAAGGTCTGTTAAGTCAAAAAAATCTTACTTAATGTTGCATGTAGTGACAGAAAAACTTGCTCGAGTAAAAACCCTATTCAAAACATTAAAGAAAAGTGCAAATTCAGGTATTAGAAACATAATAAAGTTGCAACTATGCCAAGATCGCTACCTGAAGAAATCTTGGAAAGAATGCAATGATGGGTTGTTTGGATCAATCAATTATATCATAATCCAACAAATCTGCAACTGTCAACTTAACCACATCATCAAAACAACTAGAATGTGGTGAATGATGACATCTCTACCCATGGATGAATCATAAGTCGCATTTCTGCAAACAATGAAAAACATGCACACAAATCAAAAGCATACACTAAAACACAAAAGTAAACATACTCCTACCCAATACACGACCACGTTTACTTTTAGTAACAATTGCAACATAAATACATACCAATTTTCATGCCTAATCATTGACAAGAATAAACAAACCTTGTAGCTACTTATCGATTGCCCAACATAAAACCTACAAGCAACTACGTGATAATCTAGCATCATTTCGATTAGCCCAAAAAAGGAAAAGACAAAAGTATGAAGTTAATAATTAACTGAGTATACTCACGGTAGACTTGTAAACCCAATGAAAGCTTTCTTAATGCTGCATTTACTGACTAAATAATCTGTTTGAGCAAAAAACCTATTCAAAACATTAAAAAAAAGGTATAAGTTCGGCACTTACAAATATACGAAAAAAAGTGGTAACCATATCAAGATTGCTACCTGAAGAAAACTTTGAAGGATCCAACAAATCTACATTTGTCAACTTGACCACATCATCAAGACAACTAGAGAACAGTGCAAGATGGCATCTCTACCCATGGATGAGAATCATAAGTCATATTTCTACAAACACCGAAAAAAAATGCACACAATTCAACAACATACAATTAAATACAAGAGTAAACATACTCCTACCCAATACATGACCACGTTTAATTTTAGTAACTATTGCGACAGAAATACATACCAATTTCCACACCTAGTCATTGACAAGAATAAACAAACCTTGTAGGTACTTATCGATTGCCCACCAAACCTTGCTGCTACGTGATAATCTAGAATCATTTCGATTAGCCCAAAAAGAAAAAAGATAAAAATATGAAGTTAATAATTAACTAAGTATACTCACGGTCTGCAATCTAGCACAATGTATAGGTTTACAGAACCCAAGGAAAATTTTTCTTAATGCTGCATGCGGTGACTGAAAAACTACTTAAGCAAAAATCCTGTTCAAAATATTAAAAAAAATGTGTAAGTTCAACACTTAAAAATATACCAAAAAAAGTCGTAACCATGTCAAGATCACTACCTGAAGAAATCTTGAAAGGAATGAAATGATTGATTGTTCAGACGAACCAATTTTATCATAATCTGGCAAATCTGTAGCAGTAAACTTGACCACATCATCAAGACAACTAGAGTGCAGGGCATGATGGCATCTCTACCCATGGATGAATCATAGGTCGTATTGGGGACTAAAATGAACTGAATAGTAAACATTGGGGGCCACCACTATATTTAGTCCAACAAAATAAAAACCAACCATGGTGAGACAACAAAAGCTAGAACTACATTATTGCAGCAAACAAACAAAAAACCTATGAAGAATCCACTACTTTGCTTAATGAGTTTTTCATTAAGCAGAAGGAAATTGAAAATAGCCAAGCCAAAACCTAAAGTTAGTGTAAGTGGTACCTTCAGCAATCAACATGCAATCCATAAAGCCGTGAGGATTTATTTTGAGAAGGAAAGGATGGAAGAAATAGGAAGATATAAAAGAAAAATAAAAAGACAAAGAAAATGAAAAACACTAAGAGGTTATTATTGACAGCATAGCATGCAAAATCCCATTAATGGTTTCAATATTGTGCATATTGATGGAAAACCACTATGAAAAAACAATTTTCCTAGCTAATATATTTTAACAAAACATAAAGATCATATCCAAGTATCAAAAACATTGGCACGGAAACCCATACAAACCATATTAAAATAATGATAAATTAAACATTAAAACAAACACAACACGAATACTCCTAACCACACCACTAAAAAAGCCAAAATACACACATGACAAAAACAGATGGAAATAAAGAAATGCAAATACTCAACAAACTACATATACACATTCACACGAATACATATGTACTTACAAACATAGACCCATAAAGTACACAAATGTGCACTACAATAAACACCGATAAGCAAACAAACACGCACTAAAAAACAACGAAAAAACATGCCTGCATTCAACGGTATACACTAATTAAAAAAATACAAGACGCTCACAATAAACACAGTAATCAAAAAAAGTATAGACCAAAGTAAAAATAACACATCCATATGCACAAAGAGCAATAATAAACACACGCCCACACTAAACATAACACACTCCAAAACACATACCACTAAAAATACAAATACGCAAAATACATATGAAGGTGAATAAAAAAAAAGGAAAATAATCATTAAAATGCACATGCACACTAACACAAATACGTATGCACACACAAACACAAACTCATAAAGTACACATGTGCACTAAAATATACGTTGATAAGCAAACACAGACACAAACTAAAAAAACACACCAAAAAAAATGTGCGCTCAGATACAAAAACAACCACACATTCAAAATATAAACTAATTAAAAAATACAGACACTCGGAAAAAACACATAATAATTAAAGAAAATACAGACCCTAAGAGAAAAAACAAACATTCATAAGCATAAAGACGAATAAAAACAGACATGCACTCTTTAATACAGTAGCACCACGCTGATAAGAACACACCTAAAAATACACTAATAAAAATACACACTAACGCAACAAAGTACACATACTGATAAAAACACATATTGACACAACCACACACACAAAAACAAGAGAGCACACTAATAAAAACACACGCACATATGCAAAAACAATGTCAAAGATAAACGAACACGATCACCAAACATAAGTACTCACAAGAATATATACCAGCGGAAATACACAAATATTAAAAACATATGCAAACACTGAGAAAAATGCACAAAGTCAAAAGCATACACTAAAACACAAAAGTAAACTTACTCCTATTCAATACACGACCACATTTACTTTTAGTAACAATTGCAACAGAAATACATACCAATTTCCATGCTTAGTTGTTGACGAGAATAAACAAACCTAGTAGCTACTTATCAATTGCCCAACATAAAATCTGTAGATAGCTATGTGATAATCTAGTATCATTTCGATTAGCCAAAAAAGAAAAAATATAAAAGTATGAAGTTAATAATTAACTGAGTATACTCACAGTGGGTAATCTAGCATAATGTATAGGTTTACAAAACCCAAAGAAAGCTTTCTTAATGTTGTATGTGGTGACTAAAAAACTTGCTCAAACAAAAATCCTGTTCAAAACATTAGAAAATAGTGTAAGTTCGGCACTTAAAAATATATCAAAAAAAGTCGTAGCCATGCCAAAATCGCTACTTGAAGAAATCTTGAAAGGAATGCGATAATGGATTACTCAGATGAATTCATTGATGAATCATAAGTCATATTTCTGCAATTTAAGGCTTGTATTAGCAACTTAAGAGAAAAGATGGAAACAAAAATAATTTTACTACCTAGAGTTTCATATAAAGAGGGAACTAAAACTGCAGGACAACAATGACATTCAATAACCTTTCCACTAACAATAATGAAGCCAACCACCATTAGTTTAGAAGCTGGAGGTCAGGGGAAGAATTTTGGTAAATATAACATTGGGTCTTAAAGTTGGGTCATGCTGCGAGCGTCTCTCAAGCAGCTCAGCCAGCTTCAAATGAGTTTACTTTGGGATAGTGGGCCATAAACCCTGAAAACTAAATCATCAAAAGCACCTAACAAGTTATATTTTCTTAGCACAGTGTTATACATCGTGTGATGGCTAGTCTCTATTTTTTATCGAGGTTTTGGAAGAAGGGTCCTAATCCCTGACGATGGCTAAAAATTAAGTGGTATAAACAGAATATAAGAAGAATACAGTTGAGTAGATGCTTTACCTTTTGGACAACTCCAACAACTTCTTATAACGGGGACAAATACTCGAATGGAAGCTAACATGTCAAAGACGAGACAATATATTATGAAGGAACAAAACCCAATCTCTGGCCGAACTACCATATCAAATTCCTCTTGCCGTGGCACACAATACCTTTCCGGTGAGCAACTCCCATAACACAATCCCAAAACTAAAAACATCAGCTTTGTATCACACAATATCACGTCGATAGCTAAGGAATATCATTCGTCAATTTATATAAGAAAGTGCACAAAAGCAAAAGGGAAAAAAAGTAATACGCTGTTGAACTTTTTCAGCCACAGCTCTGAACCCATGCCAGCATGCCTTTCATACAGTTTCACGCGCCATTCTTCGTCGGTATTCCCTAACTTAAACGCAAACATCACTGGCTTATAGTTCATGGTAATGACCCTGTGTGTAATTAAAACAAAGGTAAACAAATAAAAAATCAACAACCAAATTAACCTGTGTTGTGCCACCCACTTCAAGAAAGAGGGGAGGGGAGCCTGACAGACAAGAAAAAAATTAAATCATTCTGAACAAGAGTGGTGTACATCCACTTCAAGAAGGATTCTCCTGTGTGTGTGAACATTTACCAGAGAAACCTGAAAGGCAAGAAACAACACAATTTGTAAGCCACTATCAATCCAGATCTCCACCACCGCCTCACATTTTGATCTTCTAATACCCTCATAGAACTCTAAAGCACCAACATCGCTAACCTTTAGTAACTACTAGCAAATCGTAATAATGACGCCATTTATACTATTCATAATTCTTACCACCACCAACTGTTAACTTAATTAAATGTGAACCTATAGAACTGTTTATTAAATGTGAAACTATAGAACTCAAACCCCTGTTAGGACACAAAATTACAAAATCACAAGAAAAATTTAAAAACTAAAGAAAAATGACAGTATGTAAAAAAAGATCATGGTCGAATAATAAAGCTCCAACATGTTATGTAAACAAGTGCACCTCAGCAGCCATCCATCAATATGTCCCAGTTTCTGCCGTCATATCTCTTGTCTGAGCTTCCACTCTGGCAACTCCAAAATCAACCACCTGAACTACCTAAAGTGCACAACATGATTAAAATCTTCCAGACATGCTGAAGTTAAATCTTGACATTTCCACAACACTCCTTAATGACACAAGTTTACTCAAACTTGAAAGAGATACTATGAAGATATACAACATGTATGGGGCTTACAAAAATCATCTAGTTCAAGGTTAAGGAAAGGGAAGTTTTTTGACCCTGCTTGGAGTGCACATGCATGTATAGCTGGGATGCTTAAACTTCTTGAGCCAAAAAAGGCAAGATTAGGCTAGATGATTTTGAAGAGAGATACAAGGACCAAGGGAGCCCAAAGATTACACATTTATACATGGCATTTATTTTGTAAGGCTCTCTCTCTCCGATTGTCGTATGGAATCCTTTTATGTTCATAATTTTGTAGACAAATATGAATCATATGATACAACAAATAAATTGAAATGGCATTATATTTGACCAATATCAATAATTATTCCTTAATTTCAAGAAGAAAGGAAGATAAGAGATTAAGAACCATGCAAACATCCCAAACTGATTTTTGTGTCCTCTAACTAACATTAACAATCCATAATTACCAGTACGCCTTTTTTTCCCTTGGGCAGGGGGGAGCGTCCATATATAGTCATGTACATTTGGGGTAAAAAGCCTCAAATTTTTCATACTGTTTCACAGATATATAGTCAACTCACCAATATAGAAATTGAGGCAAATGAAATATAAGATATGACAAATTCAGAGTCCAACACATAAATGCTGGACTATAACAATAACACATTCTCGTTATTATAGTAATAGAAAGAAAAAAACATCTTACTTCATTTTCATCCATCAGTTCGCAGCCTTCAAGTACCTGTGGATTATATTATTCTGGTGCAAGTAGGTCATTCCCTTGGATAAGATCGCTACTTTTAGTAAAGATGGAAGCCTAAAAGTACACTTTTGCTTGAGTAGATAGTCATATACATTTCCACCAGACATATATTCTGAAACACAATAATAATAATAATAATAATAATAATAACGTAGAGCAAAAAGAACAATATTCAAGTTGGAATGAAGCTAAACATAACAAAAATGTAGGGACAACAAAACCAAGTAAAATCCTTAAGCAACAACTCCTTTGTGTGTGCATAACCATAGTCATCAGTAAGATGATGGAAATTTACCTGTTACAATACACAAACTTGGAGGTTTGGTACAATCACCCATGAATTGTACAACAATCTTGTGTCGAACTTTCCTGCAAGTGCCAAAAAGGAGTCACTTGGGCCGAGATATATGTCTCTAATGAGCAAAAGCTCACTGGTTGAACTACACGACCCAACATTGAGGCCTAAAATAATACACTCACAAAGAACACCAATGGAACTGATCCTGTTTTTTCCCTTGGAGGATTTTTAAGAACATCCGATTTGCATGACATTTGGATGAGTAAGCGAGAGAGAATTAAACTCCTTACAAGTACAAGGGACAAGATATCGGCATACCTACCCTAGGAAGATGGTAGAACTGAACCCATATATTGATGTATCTCTGAAGGGTGGTGTCAATGCATGCAGGCGTGCATGTGAAAACACGAGCAAGATCTAGCTACAAAAAGACTGAAGCTCCTAACTAATCCTTTCTTTTCTAGCCTTGCTTGGGGGAGCACACAAAGAACCATAGACTAGATGCCAGAAAGAAAGAAAAAAATGCACACACAGGGAAAGGGAGACAGTGCTTAAGTAGATATAGAATAGACTTGGAACAAGAATCAGGAATGAAAATTTGAAGCAGTTCTCTCTCTGTGGTTTCATAGAATGCAAATTCATTGCAAATAGTACAGCTCATGCCTACATCAATA